ACAGATTTCTTCTCCCATGATATAACTGTTAATTTTAGGGTTCATTTAAATTCATAAACCTGAAGATGGTGATATTTTAGGTTTGTGTGCTCATAAGAATAAGGTATTTCTTTAGCAGTTCAGACACTGACTTTATTCACTAGATGCAGCTAGTGTTTTATTCATTCACATATCAATACCTGCATTTCTCACAGCTATTCCATCATTTGCCAGACATACAGACATCACTCATTTTTCATGGTTATGCTTAGCTCCAAATACTAGATAGCAATGATGATTTTGTACCTTTTCTGAGATTTTCTTTAAATATATTTTCTTTCGTGCATTTGTTCTTCAGTTGAGGACATTTCAACAAGATTCAAACAGATATTAGGCAATTCATATGGCTAACTAAGCCCAGTCAGCATGTATATCTGGAACATGGATAAATGCTCATGGCTTGACCCCACCAAGCTGTTATCCTACTTTGATAACTGCTGTCTTGTGCTCTCCCTAAAGTGATTATAACTGATGAGCTAGGCTGCATACAAGGTTGCAATAGAGACAGCTTGGTAAAGGAGCCCAAAATACAAGAGTGATTTATTAATGTCTTGGACACACAGTTCTTGTAACTGTGGAATGAGCCGTGTGACACCCTCCACAGACCAGGTCTTCCAGTAGGCCCCCTGGCAGCATCCTGTCTGCTGCCTATAACAAGACCTTGGTGCACATCCTTTTCCTGCAGGCCACGATATCTTCCAGAAACTATTCTGGGAACAGAAATGCTGTGCATATAACATGCACTCATCCTGATCTGAATTTACCTAATCCCAATGTAGGCAAAGACATTGGGCTTGTATTTAGAATTGGAGAAACAAACTTGTAATCAGAAGAGTAGCAATATCAGGCTGGAGTTTCAGAAGTTCTAAGAAGAAGAAAACCTGATAATATTTAAGAATTTTATATAAAACAGAAAACAGAACAAAAAAGCTAACTTTGTATGGGTTTCCTCAATGACCCGTGACCACCCAGCCATGATATTTTAGAGAAGTATTCAGTCTAGCTGTCTGGGAAGTAACAAGGAACTGATCACAGGCTGTCCTTGAGTACCTAACTCATCTCTTGACAACTTCATTTTCTAATAACAGAGAAATCATCTTCTCTCACCAATATCCTCTTCAACAGTACTGAAAATCAGGAGCCTTCCACAAACTTTTTTTTTTTTTTTTTTTTTTTTTTTTTTAGGAAAATCATCACATGAATCACGTCAGCACAGAACTTGGGGGCCTGCTAATTCTCTAATCTTGCTGGTCCAGAAGCAACTTCAAGGACATCTGTGTTATTTAATGTCAGTTTCCTCCTGCTATATGCACCCTGATCTCTGACAGATGCCTGGTAAACACTGAAAACTTGTAACACCAACAAAGAACTCCACAACTGAAGAGGAGAAACAAGCCTTCCTCATCAAAAGCCATCCCATTCCAAAGACAAAAAGCAGACCTCATTCCTGCTTACTTTTAGACATGAAGAATATGCTTCCTTTGTCCCACATTTTGTCTCCACAAACCCTTTATTAAATAACATCTCTTATTTTCTTCCACACAAGCAATGGAGAGTTTCCCTGCAAGATGTCAGCATAAGTTTCTTTTAAGACTTTTTCTTTTGAATCCAATGCCTACGCAAGCATTCATCAAAACTATGGAAATCAGAATGGAGTTACTAATAGAGTTTCAAAAGAGGTCACTCAACCATGCTTAAGTAACTTTTTTTTTAATTAAGTATTGAACACTGGGTAGATTACAAGAAGATGGCAGAACAGATAAAGAACAGCATTAGAAATGCAAAGAGAACCTTTGAAAATAGAAGTTAAAAGCCATGCTAAACAACCCCTTTTCCAACATTACAAATTAAGTGATCAAGGAAGGGGAAAATGAGAACATTAGAGGCCAGAACAATAAACTGAATCACGTAGGGTGGCAAAATGCCTGAACTATTACATTATTGTGTTCTCAACAGATTTTCAAAAGAGAATGATAAAAAGTGAATTTTTATTTATTTATTTGTGTCATATGTGTGGCAGCTGATCCTGTTGCATAAGGCTACAAAGAGCAAGGCAGGACTTTACTGTGAAAGACTCAGTTAAATGTGTGCCAGGAACCTAACCTTGCTACCTGCCTCAGATAAGAGGCAGCAAGAAAGTTTTTGTGTTTTCTGCATTATTACTCCTTATTAAACCAGATTTCTGTTAGTGTGTGATGTGAGGAGACACTTACATTGTGCTATGTCAGGTCATGTCAAATCCCATCAAGTCTTATGATGGGAGACAGCTTGATGTAACCTGACGTGGTGCATATTAGTGCCAATGGAAAAAGCCAAAAATGGCTTGACATTTAAATAAATACATCCCATGTGCCAATGCACAGCAAGATCCAGATGTGCCTTTATCCTAAAGCTCTGCAAATATACCACTCATGGAAAGCCATGGAGTTCAGAGAAAAAAATAAAAAACTATAAAACACATTCTGCAGAAGCAGACATCTACTGACATTCATGTCCAGATCTATTAAGTATGATGTTGAGATTCTACGAATTAAGAAAAAACAATTATCTTGGATTTATTTATTTCCAACACTGTTAAAAACAAACCCATGCAGATCTGTAATGAATAAACCAATGGAAAGAGCTGATCAGTTGTACTGAAGGTTAAGATTATCTTTCTCATCATCCCCAACACTGTCTCAGTTATTCATTGCTGCTGCTTTGTCAGCTTACGCTCCAGAGACACTCAATCCATAGAGGTGTATACCTTTTACCTACACTAGTACAGCCCACCCAAAACCCACTCTGAAGAACTGAACTGACTAAAGACTAAGTTTTTCTGCATTTACATTGAAAACTTGCCTTCATTTTGTTACAAGACATCACCATCAGATTGAAAAGGGGAAAAAGAAAAAGTGTAAGGCATACCATAGGAGGGAGTACAAAAACACGTTAAGTGAGAAGCATTTGGTTTTGCTGGCCTCGTCACTCCTTGTACAGGCAATTGTAGTAACACTGATCTTTTCACTGTTGAAAGGACTCCAGTGCATGCAAATGAACTGTCAAGTCCTGGAAAATACTTCACCCATTCCTCAGTCTGAATGGTTTGATAAAGGTCTCAGCAACATCCCACTGTTCTGCATTGTGCCTTCAGAGCCTTACAGAGATGCAGAGGGTACTCCATCATGCCTGCTCTTGGTTTAACCGACGTACCCACTGGGAGCAGATTGGCAAGAAGCCCTACAGAAAGCTCAAGTGTAACAGAAGAAAAGCCTACACCTGGTCTCCAGAATGTTATGTCTGTAATACAGAGAAACTCACCCAGCTTTTGCGTACCTACATCAGACATACCTTACACAGCTTGCCCACACTGTATTTATTCGTGAGAACTCTGCCTTTTAAGCACTCAAGTTGACTTAAAGGTGCAGAAAACCAAGAAACTAAGAGATAATTCCAACAAACACTGCTCAAACTTATTTCTTGCCTAAAATTTAGGGCTGGAGTATGCATCACTATCATAGGCACGTGGAAGGGGTTGGCAATACATAATTTCAGTGTTTTTGAAGATTGCTACCACCTTTTCAAAGAGAAAAGAAAATAACTTACATACACTGCATAGATCTTTCCCCTCATCCATATTAATAGCTGCCCCACAGGACTCCACAACAGTTGCTTTTTTTTTTTTTTTTTCTCCAAGAACATTCAAAAAGAATAATACTTTTGTCCTTAACTTTACCATGAACAGATCTCAAGTACTTCAATAATACTTTAAATATTTAAATACCATTGCTAAGGAAAGTTTTACTGAGCATAAGCCCCTGATCCTTATAGCAAGTTTCTCCTTGCTTAAATAAACACCTTTCCCAGCCACCACTTCTCAGGGATCAGATGAAGACCAAAGGTAGATTTTGGCATCAACAATGATTTATTCACACAAAGCAGTTTAAATGTAAGCAATATATCCCTGTCATCCAGTCAGCTGACAAAATGTCAGTCGTCTTTATCAGTTGTTTCAGTGCCTCCTGCCAGCTGCCATCAATCTTTGAAATAAACACTATAAATAAAACTGCATAGGCAAACGGCTGCCAAAGAAACCAGAGGTTAAAGGCAATTCACCTATTATACAATTAAGTGCCAATGGTTATTTTGATTAGAAGCCTAAATTCAAAGTGAATGGCAGACTTTCAGCTGGGGAAGAAACAAGGAGTTGGGTTTTTTTTTCTTTTTTTTTTCTTTTCTCTCTCTTTTAAAGCACAGCCAGCAGCAAAGTCTACCTAACTCCTTTGGTCTCACCATCCTGCAGACTGGCCACAGCAACATACTCCTAAAGGGTGCCCTATGCCTACAGAGCAAAGCAAAATTCTTACTGCAGTCTGAACTGAGCAAAGACAACAAGACAACCATGTATTAGCAACACCTAGCAGTATGCAGCCAAACAGGCTGGCTTGGCTGAGCATGCAGAGATCAAGCATTGCCCAGCCAATGCCTGCAGCTCACCGGAGGGTGTCCAAAAACATGCTGCTCAAGCTCATCTACAGCCAAGGAGTCCCATCATATTGGCAAGACCTGGCCCAAGTACTCCCTTAATATTCAGCCAGAGGGGCAGGGCCAAGCTTGAGGGATTGCCCCTTAAAAGTGCAGCTCTCATTGCCCTTCTTACTCAGTCAGCCTCACCCATGCATTGGAGAAGTGAGGGAGAACAGGGCCCCAGACATGACCTAAGGGAAGGATGGGAAATAATGGTGGCAGAAAATCAAAATAATTCCCCAAAGGGTCTCCCTTGTAAAAGTTTGCCTTATTTTTCAAACCTTTAAAGTGAAAGTGGGAAAGGTGGTATGGAAAAAAGGCCATTGAAAGAACAGTAAGAATGTAAGCAAAAAGACAAAGAGAAAATTAGAGTATACACCTAATAGAACTGGTAGTTACACATCCACCAGTAGCTATTGGCTGCTCCTTTCTAACTCTTTAAAGACAACATATGCTTGCTTCAGCAGCACATATACTAAAATTGGAATGATGCAGAAGATGAGAAGATCAACATGGCCCCTATGCAAGAATGATAAGCAAACTTGTGAAGAGTTGCATATTTTTTCTCCATGTTCATGCAGGGGATTTGGACCGGGTGACCATTAAGGGTCTTTTCCAACTTGAACAATTCTATGATTCTAAACCTTGGCACAGGAAAAAAAAAATGTCCACCTGTTTTCTTCCTGCTGTATCTGCCATCTTCCTATAGCCCATAGAGTCAACACAAAATAAATGATGTGATATCATCTCCCTTCCACAGAAAGGTAAGTGTTATAATAGCTAAGGTACACAAACAGCTTGCAAACCTCTATGCAGGAATAAATCCTGAGTGTAAACTACCAAAATTTTCTGCATTTCAAGTCCCACATAGATTTTGTTTCCACCTTGCAAGATAATATCTAGTTATTGGCTGAGTTGGCAATTGTCTTCTAAATCCTCACAGATGTTACTGCACAGTTCCCAGCCTAAATAATAAAAATACCCTGCTGAGAACGACAAGGCTCTATTGCTATTGAGAGGATTGATGTAGGAGTGGAAACTCTTGATAAAAAAAAAAGTGTTAATATCCAACTTAATCTTGTAAGGATTACCAAACTACAGTGTTTCCAGAAGCTCCCAACACTTGCTTTTGTCTTTTGAGGCTGTGGCTGTAAAACTTGGGAGATGTTTAAATGACAAATGGCCCTAGGTTTCCAAGCGGCACTGCACAGTTGTCAGACTGTATCTGGAGACTGAAAGCAATAAAGAAAACAATGATTGTCCCTGGGGGGATTAGTTCTTGGATGTTAGGAAGGGTATTATCAAGTGTTCACATCGTCACCTTCAGCAGGGCTAAGTACATTATGGCTCCCGAGTATCACAGAAGAGAAGGCTACTAAGTACTGCCCATATATGACTGTACTTATAGGCAGGAGTGAGAAACTGTCACTGAACGAGGCTTTATGTGAATAAAGGTAAAGGCAAACTGAGTGATATAGAAATTTGAAAGCCAAACATCAATTAAATCTGTTCCAGAAACATCTTCCAATGTCCAGATCTGGGAATAATACACACTCCTTCCCACACACTGGGAGAGAATGGACATACTGAAGCATACTGTAACTGCCATCCAGAAAATCCCTAAGTAACAGAGATAGCAGCACTACACTTTGGAGCTGACCTGCCATTTGGTTAAGTTAAAGCCAAAGAACAGCAATTCTAGTGAGGCTTGCGGATTAGCTCAAGAATGAAAGAAGAACAACATATAAAGAATGCTGAGAATATGGGCAGAAAGTATGCTGCTGAAAACATAGCGTGGCTCTACCATACTGTACATAACTGTATTCCAAACTAGGAGGAGAAGCAGCACAGTTTTGGTTTGGAGTTGGAGAGGAGGAAGATGACTCCTGTAGAGCCAAAGAGACTTCCCGAATTTCAGATGATCCAACAGATGTCCAAGCTCATATATATCCTAGAAAGGATGTACTTCCCAGCAGGGCTACAGCTGCTCATAACCATCAGATCTTCTGGGTTCTCTGGGCATAACTAGTCTAATCCTTCTGGTGGTTTCTAACTTCCATGAAACCCAGCATCTACTGCAAAGACTGAAATATTCAAATGTGACTCACAGAGTTTTTTCTGTCAAGTCTGCTTCCAACCAGCATTTGGCACAGCTGATGGGGCTAACCCTGGAGGGCTTTGAAAGCACACAGTTCCACAGAAACATCAACACAGGGGTCCTTAACTCACACAGGCACATTTCTGGTCTATCAAATTGTCATATACAGAAGCATCCATTAGGGAAACCAGCACCATTTTGTCCACACTGGAGCTACGTTTGGCTTGTTTTCACAGTGTCATTTTGGCAGGACCCTTTTGGCCAGTCTAAGCACAGATTTGGAGAGGAGACAATTACAATGTGTGTCTGCTGTTCAAGGGAAATGCCAAATTCCCTATTCTGTGGATGACTTCTCTAATTACTACTATTATTTCTATCTGTTGCCTGTAAAAATCAGAGTGAAATCCCGGTCCCATGGAAACCAATGACAAGACTCATATTCATGTCACCATGGTTTCACGTCTGGTTTTCCAGATGTTTTATATTCCGGTCTTGCCAGCTTCCTTCCCTCAGACCTTTGTGGTATAACAGAGCAGGGCTTGCCTTGCCATATCGTGTTCGATGAAAATTTCCACCCTAATCATGAATCATCACTCAGAATCCCAGTATCCTTTCTCTAACTGAAAATGATGTTGCCTGACGAACTTTGCGTATTTTGCTGCATTATTTATATCACGTCAAAATTTGATGTGGGAATTGCTAATTGGAAGAGCAGCCACTGCCTGTGTTTTCCTCTAGGCAGACTGGCAGTCAATATGAAACTGCAAGGGAGACTGTTCCACCTATCCATAGTTGGTACAGCCCCTCTTCCTTTTGAAAATCTCCTATTGGCTGTCTCCTTGTCTTCCCTTTTACACGTCACAGTCCCAACACAACTTGTTTCTGTGCTTTGGGAGCTGGAATCTATGAGAGCTTTCGGCATCACGGGTGCTGCAGCCTCTCATGAGTCCTATGGGAATGGCAACCAGCCAAGCCCTGAGCTCCAAGCCTGGAGAGGAAGGCAGGTACTGAAGCACAATCAGCATGTATAGCTGCCCGAACAGCAGGAGGGAGAACAGGGGGCTACGGGTGTGCACTTCACTGCTATGGTTCTGACATCTTAATACTGAATGTATAGTCTGCTTCTGGGCCATCAAAAATGAACCACTACCGGTCATGGAGAATTGGTTTATACACTGAATACCAAGAAGACTTCAAGTAGGTTGCCTACACGTTCCCTGGCAAACATGTTATCCTTTTAAATACTTATAATAGAAACAAATAATTAAAATTTTTGAGTCGATCAATATTTTTAGGATTGGAGTTCTCGTTATTAAAAGGAAATTGTGAAAAATTAATCTTTGCAATTCTTTTTGTTGTTGTTGCCATAATGTGATCTCTCTTCCCATGCCAGTAACTGAATTCCATAAAATCAAGGACTTAATAAAAAAGAAAGCTTGTTTGAGGCACAAGCTACATTCCTCATTTATTAAGCATACAATTAAAAAACAAAAATGTAATTCTTTTTACATTTAATTGGTAAGGTCAATACCAATTATAATATAAGAGTACTTTAATTTAAAGTTTTATCTCCTACATTAGTTTTCATTAAGGTGTTAAGTGAAAAGAAATCATTGTTAAAGACAAAAAGAAAGTGCCAGTGAACCAAGCAGGCAGCATCTGTTAGTACTGCTAAATGCATTACAGGGAGACGGCTCCCACAGACTCAAGTGTTGTAGGAATTATTTGCGTATGAGAAAAAAGGAGCCTGAAAATTCCACACAACTCTTATCTGTTGGACTTCATCTCTGCTCTAATATGAAAGACAAAATAATAACATTAACAGCACAATAATGCCTGTTCTCACCCTCCAAGCATCATAAACGATGATCTTAAAGGAAAGGGAAAATACATATCTGTCACTGAGAAGATTATAGAATTTGACAGCTTTAATCTATTATTTTATTTCTTCAAGATCTATTTCATTTATGCCTGTAAAGAAAAACGTGATTTGTTTTGCTCAGAGACAATATGGGCCAATACAGTCTATGCCTGAGACAGAAATGGAGTGATAGTAACTTGAAGTTTCTCTGCCAACATGATACTGCATTCAGAGATTGAGAAATGGTATGTGCATCACTGGATATGCATATTAGTTAGTTAAATGAAGGTTGGGAAGACCTAGCACTAGGCAGGACCTGTGAAGCCATGGCTCAAGGCAGATGCCACTACACTGGCTGTGCTTTGGCAATACATCAAGCTCTATTAAAATTTAAATTAAAGAAAGCTCTACACGTTATCTAAGTATAACCGGCCACAATGATACCTGTCCAGATCTGTGTACATCTGAAGCCACAGTGCCCAAAGTGCTGCTGGAACGCCACTTGGAACGGGGTGCTAAATTCATCCTAAAATGAATTACACTGGCAGGCAGGTAGGGCACATGACAGAGTGTGAGACGGGCAGAAGAGTGTGCCAGCCCTGCATTTCCTGCCCTCAGAGCTGACCACTCCTCTGCTGAGATACACAGTGGGAACTGCAGTGCAGCTGTCATTGCCTCCTAAGTTGGGTAAGGACACAAGTACCTGGAAGACCTGAACTGGTTCTTCCCCCATCACATCGTGGGATTTAAGGGCTGAAAAATAGGCTGGACTGAAACGATGCGGTGAGATACAGGTTTATGCTTTGGTTAGTTTTATACCTTAAATAGTAAGAATGCCTAAAGTTGAAAACATCTGCCCATTATTTTGGATATACACAAAAAATGTGGTACTGATGCTGCTGCAATTGAATATAATTTAACTTGCAGTACTAAATGCATATATTTTAAATACATATCAGTCGTAGGATTAGTTCCCTTCAGTAGCAAAGAATTTCCAGTAAAGCTGCAGCACTTTTCATTCCCTAGTTAGAGACAGTGGGAACAGCAGTCCCGTAGCTACTGTGAAGCTGTCACGTCTCTAATGACAACCCAAACACTTACATGAAATGTACTGTGCTAGCTGTGCATATGCGATTGTGCGGAGCAAAGCTTGCCAGCAAAACTACCCTTATTAAAAATAAGTTGAATGCAAGATGGAAGAGCCATTACAGCTGCTTCTGTTAGGGAATGCTGCTACAAATTAAGCAAAAAAAAATCCCTGAATCATCCATGTCACTTCTAGACACTAGTATGTGAGAATGCTCGGCTTGGCAGATAGGGAGGTGGTATGCTATGTGTAATGGAGAAGAAAAAGATGGTGAGGTTTCCAGGGGAAACAACAATAAGAAAGGGAAGGAGACATGGTAGAGATGGAAAAATAGGGAAAAGTTCTATCTAGAAAGGTAGGAAAAATAAAAGACAACAGGAACATGAGAATAGGACAAACATAGAGATTAAAAAATTAGGAATAATTATACCAATTATTAAAAATCTATGCTTTAGTATAGTTAAAATTACTGCTTTCGAAAAATCTTTTCTTCAGGCAAATGTTTTTTGCAGCTGTCA